ACAAACAAAAACTAACCCAAAATATGAAGATAAATTAAGATTAGTTACAAAACAAATATATGAGTCACAATTGTAATCATTTCTTTATTTATATTTAAAGTAACTAATAGTCCAAACACTCACAGTCACCGCCCTCTTACGTTATCAATCAAAAGTGAAAATGGACCTATATCTACTCCTTAGCCGTCTATATAGTTGTCTCCTCTGAAAAAAAAAGAAGAAGAGTAGATTCTCTTTTGTATGATTAACCATGGGAGGTGAAGTAATAAACCCAACCAAGCCACGGTTTGATCTAAGCATGTCAAAAAGAACTCGAAAACCATGGTCTAGTCTCATCAACGATACGCATCACCATGAAATCTCCACGCAAAGCTCACAACCGAAACCAGACAAAGAACAAGAGCAAATCGAAGACAAAGAGATTGATCGTAAGAGTTTGAACAATCTGATGAGATACGAGGAGAAGCCAAATGGAGAAGCTAATGTTAACAACGACAAGAGCTCTCTAGATCAACATTTCGGTGATGACGAGGGGATCAAGCAGACGATGCAATTGGTGGTGAAGAAAGAGAAGCAAGGTGGTGTGAAATTCAAAGGTATGATGGGTCGATATGTTAAGGTTTGGAGCGGTTTGATAAAGGCCAAGCGTGACCGCAAAACGCCGGTCTTACGGTTTAAAACTTGATTTCGATCGTATATACGTATGTTTCATGTACGTGATCACATATACATATATTACGTACGATTAGGTATTAGATATATTTTGCGTATACGTACGTATTATAGATGTGCACGTCTGTGTTGTTAATTGGCATATTGGTTTTGACTTTTGAGATTGTAATTAGAACTATATGCAAATCCCCTCTTGTTATTTTGTTAAGAATCTCACTGCGTGAGTTTTGTTGTGTTTTGAGCTTTTGCCAAAAACATTCTACTAGTCTTTTCGATCTTTGCCAACTAGTTACGGTTGTAGGAGAACTTGAGGTTTATGAACAAATTAACTGACGCTGTCTGCTACGACCTATCCTCATTTCTGTCTTTAAAATAGTTGCAGGGTTAATAAATTGCCAAATTGTTTAAAACAGTTTATAAATAAGTACAATCTTAATTATCAGTCAATCAAATGTAATTTTTTTGTTTTATTTTATAAGTAACTTTCTACTATCATACAATACATATATTTCTGTTTTCTTTCTTTTTTTAAAAAATATTATTAATAATTTAACATTCCAATGGGTTTGGTCTGAGGCCTACAACCAAGATAGATCAAGTTACAAAAAAGCAAAATGGCATCTCACCGGAAGAAGAAGAAAAGTTCGACTCATGTTGATCATCGCTAGAAGAGTGACCAGAACTTTATATCCGGTAGACTCAAGACCCACAACTTCGTGGTAGCCTCTGAAGATAAAAAATTATTGACGAAAAATTCCGATTTTCATTAGCAATCCCTTTCCTCCGACGCACCAATCCGCCAACAAGTCTCCCAGAAAACTAGTCATTTTGACGGTGTCAAATTCCGACCTAGCAATCCGACACGCTTAGAGTTATCAACTCTCGGTTTTAAAATATAAGGATGTTTGAGTTAAAAGCACACACTTTAAGAAATATATTTTTCTTTTAAAAATTATTATTTAATATTTAATTTTATAAAATTCAACCAATGATATTAAAGACTGCAGAATACAAATTATTATAAAATATCAAATGTATTTAAGAGCTGCATAGAAAATTGTAAAACATCCTCTAATTTAAAACAAAAAAAATCCCTAAAACATATTATATTTTGAAACAGAGGGAATATTATTTTTTTTAATTAAAACAACACCCATTATTTGTCTGAACTAAATAATGGGTGTTGTTTTAATTATAAAGAAAAAATATATAGTATAGTTGACAAAATACCAAACTTCTGAATTTCAATACTGTAGGTTTTGGTGTCATTCGATCAATCTCAAGAATATGCTTTTAAGTGTGGTGAAGACTCTGAAGCAATCAGAGGTTTCAAGACAACCTTTCTCCATTAACACGTGAGAAGCACAAGTTGTGGGTATCAGTAATTAGTCACAACTAGAAGGGTAAAAGGGTCTTTCATGTTGGCTCTGTATCATCTTCCTCTTTATTCTCTTGTTACGAGTTTAGTAAACAGAAGGTGAGAGACTAGAGAAAAGCGTCACATAGACGATAGAGAGAGAGAGATTGAATCAAGAGAGAGGTTAGAGAGAGAAAGCTTGAAAGAACTTGTAATCGATACAGTCACCACAAAGTTTCTAGTGGATTTCCGGAGGTGTTTCTCCGGCGAGATGTAGGGAATCCGGTTTGGATCCTGAACTCGTAAAATTGCTGTGTGTCGTTCTTTGCTTTCATTTTCTTTTGATTCATTCGTAGATCTATTGATCAAGTGTTGATTCAAGTTTGATTAGCTCGGATTAAGAGGAAAACCTTTACAAATACTTAACATGATGAAAAAAAAAAAAAAAAAAACGATAGCCTAAAATCTTAACGTCATTGTTTGTTGCTCTTACAATAACGATAGCCTAAAATCTTTATAGGTGAAAATTTTCCTGCTCTTTGTTTAAGCAAAATATATTCGGGCTTCTTGAGCTTTATTGTGTGCATAATAGTAGCTAATTGTTTTTTCAATCATATACTGAGAGCAGACTGAGCAGTATATAGTATTTTCGAAGAATAACTGAGAAAGTATGAGGCTTTGTTCAAAAAAAAAAAAAAAAACTGAGAAAGTATGAGGCCACCTCTGATGCAAGGAAAGGTCGGTATTACGTGGCAGATTATCATTGGGTGTCTTTTACCAATAAGATTGGAGATGCATGGCCTCACCGACCCTGTTAAGTAACCTTGTGGCACCGTCGAAAAGCAAGAATCTTTAATTAAAGTGTCAAGTCAGCTCTTTTTCCATTTACTTTATTTCGCCTACCAAACATTATTATACTACACAAATAATACGCAAAGTATAATTAGGACTTATATAACAAATGTTTGACAAATTTTAAGCTTGAATCCAGTTATGATTAAGTACTTAAATATCAAACTATATTACAAAAATACCAAAATTTGTTGCTCATTCATATCTCGTTGTTAGTTTGATTTGGTTATGTCGGATAGTTCATTTGACACTCGGTTAGATACAGTAATATAGTATTAGATAGTCTATTGTATAAAAATAAATTTCTACTAATATAAACAAACGTATTTAATTACATTCTTGTAGAATCCAAAGCAAACATTAATTATTAACCACTACAAAGTGGGCTAGTGGTAGGACGGATTTCGTGGTTGAGGGGGTAATTCCAATATGCTCGGGTTCGATTCCCCTTTACTACATACTAGTGGCCGCCAGAGAATTTACATGCGGACTTGCTCTGGCGCCCGAGACCGAAGACCGTTATCTGGCCATGACCCACCCTCGGATGTGCGTCCGTGCCGTAAGGGTTCGGTCTCTAGTCTGGACCACCTCGGTGGGGCCAGGACACTCGGTTATCAAAAAAAAAAAAAAAAACATTAATTATTTCATTTCCCTATATAAAACCAACCTCATCCTCAACATCTTCATCAAAACTTAAACATCAAGAAGTCTCTCTACAAAAGAAATTCTCATATCTAAAGAAAACTCTCAATAGAAAACAAATAAACAACAATCAAGAATCTAAATGGGAAGAGATCAAGAAGGAAGCCCTCCAGTTCCCTTACATCTCTGCGTCTTCGTCCTGATCCTATTAATGTTCGTAACGATCTCATGGTACGCGAGCTACGAACCAGTCATAGAAGGATTTACGGATCAGTTCAAGCTCGCTCTCATGGCTTCTCCTCTGCTTTTGCTCTTGGCCGTCCATTTTCTATCCAACGATAGAGGAGTAGGAGGGATGATGACGTCTTTGATCCATCTGAACGAAAGAGAGTCTTTGTATAGAGCTGGAGGAACACCATGGGGAGTCGCCTTCATGCTTGTCTTTCTCTTCTTCATGGTTTCTTATCAATCTCAGTTTCAAGAACGTTGGTTTCCTCTTCGATAATGAAACGACATCATTTTTTGGTTCTTCTACTATTCTTGACTTTCTCTTTGGGTTTAGTATAATGAATTCATGGTGTATGTTGATTGATTTTTTTTTTTTTTTTTTTTTGGTTTCATTCACCAATCATACCATTTGATGTAATCTTTAATCTCTTTTCTCGTGGTATATAATACTTTATCATATATTATGACAAGAGCAAAAGATTGCTATGTTTTTTTTTTTTTTTTTTGGTATATGCACCAAATAACCAGTGTTAAAAAAAGTGTAAACAGACGGTAATCCTTTGTATAACACCTAAGGCGTCTAATCAAAATTTCAACGACTTTAAACAGTATAAACTGTTTTACTGTTTTAAAATAAAATAAGATATTTTTATATTTATTTAGAATAATACTTTGTTCACGCCTAAAGACTAATCGGTCAATAAATATTATTCTGATGAAAGAATTAATCATCCCACCCCAACTGGTATAACCCGGGACCAAGGTACTAGACCACAACTCAGTTGGTGTTTAAGCATATTGATATTTTTCTCGGTACATACTTAAAATATTGAATTTTCATGTTATGTTCAAGCAACAATATTTTTCTATAAAAAATATGTATGACACTATGACGTATCCTTTCATTTGATCGGATAAGGTCTAACGATATATGTCCGTTACTTCCACGTCTCTGCCTCTGGTCAAAAACGCAAGGCGCTCTCTTTCTCTATAAATTCTATTAACCTTTTGCATGAACCTAAAAATCTTCAATCTCAAATTCATCTTCATATTTTGACACATCCCCAAGAAAGAAAAACACATTTTCTTTACCACGACCTATTAGTTTTTGTCTGATCAAAACTCTTGTAATCGATTATTTTTTATCTATTACAACAAGTGGACGGAGGCTTAGGAACGATGTTGATGAAGGTGGCCTTATTTGCTCTGGTACAAGGTTTGGTGTATCTCATCCTCTCGAAATCGTCGAAGGTTTTCTCTACATCGAATTCGTTGAGAAAGGCTTACAGTTTCCGGCCGATGAGGTCCGTCAGCATCCGCCGGATTCTGGCGTCACTTCAGGATATTCCTGCTGGCGACGATATGTCTCCTTCATCTAACGGCTCTTCTTCTTCTCTTACTTCTCCTTCTTCGCAAGATGAGGCGGCAACAACAACTACATCACCATCTTAGGGATATAGATATATACACAAACGGCATTATTGATTATTTATTTTATTTTATTTTAGATTGTTTCGTTAAATTGATGTAAGATTGATTATCTATATGTAGTCGTAGATATATATATGTATAGTTGGTTTAGATGTTGAATAGTAGTATCGTATGTACAGTTCAAAAAGGTTTATTATAATCTTTGAGTAATCATTTTTTTTATTAAACTAAAATAATGGGTGATTTGCAAATATAGCACTTTTCACTAAATAATTAACTAACTAACACCATAAATATGTAAATGTAGTAAGTAACTTTCCGGGAGAGTAAAAAGACAATATTATCCTGGTGTTAAGCTGCTTTAGCGAGAAAGGAGAATGATGAGATGGCAGGAGAGAAAATTTCTCATTAAAAATAAATTTCTTTACCACATTGTAATTGTAAATCATATTTTCTTATCTAAAAAATTGATTTCAGGTTCATGATATTTCTATTAAAAATCTGTATAATTTTCTTGATATATCATAAGTTGAATTTTTAAAAACAGACAAAAAAATTTAGATGTGAATAGTGTTATCAATGGATACATAACGATCTATATAACACACATAGTATAAAATAGTATACTATATACTATTTACTCAAACCTTAAATAGTTCAGCTCTAAATAAAAAGTAGTAAACCTTAAATCAAATATTCAACCTTCAAATACTAATAAAATATGTGAATTCCTAATAAACAAATTATAAGAAATTTTGTTTGGTATATATATATATATGACACATAAATAAAATAGTATAAAACCAAATAAAGTAGTATGGAATAAGATTTAATAGAGTGGAGGCAATGGTAGTGGTGATACTGGTGACGACGGAGTTGACGCTGTTGGCGATGGTGATGGCAATGGTAGCTGCGGTGATAATGATGGTGGTGATGGCAGTGGCGGTGCTAATAATGGTGGCGATGGTGGTTGTCGTGAAGCTAGTAGTTGTGGTGGTAGTGATCATCGTTAGTGATAGTTGTAGTAGCGGTGGTGGTAAATTTATG